TGAAAATTGCTTACTAAATGACAGGAGGAAGTTTCATTTGCATTCCATATCTGATGTTAAATCTGCTAATCCTCCACAGAGTCTGCCAGGAAAAGCAATTTAGACAGACTTGAATTTTATTAAAATCAGAAATCGAGCACAGTGCTTCCTACTCTTCTATTACACATTGCAAGATAAACCTTAAAACCTTCTGGAATATATTAATTATTTCAGCCACTGTATGTATTCCTCATTGTTTTCTTGAAATGTGCTTTAGTTAGGAGTTCTTTACAGAGCGTTCATTAACAGCCCTTCCCTCTTGGGCCTTCTTCCTCACCCCAGGAAATCTGTGTCTCCATGTTTGCTCTGGTTTATGTAAGTTAAATTGTGACAGTTTTTTCCTTCATTAATGAGAGTTCCTAATTGGGCGTAATGAAATGTTTACTCGTGCTACTAGATAATATTATATGAAAGCACAACAGAGATAAGAGACTATGAAGAAAATAAGCAGTTAAAAGATTTTGGATAAGATACGAAAGCCATTTTTTTGCCAATATTTTCCTATTGTATTTGAGAATGACTTCTGGTGCAGCTGTGTAACTAAGGCTATCTATCTCAAACGACATCCATTATTTATTGGCCTGGTTAGCAAACAAGGACACCTTTGACTACAGCAAATTGTGAGGTCAATTTACTGTGCTTTACACCAACTGAAGACTAGCTTTTTTGTATTTATATTCTCTAAAATTTTCCGTTTGGCATGAGCTTCTCTGGGGAAAGCAATAGGAACTTGGGGGAGGGGAGCAGGAGAGCTTGAAGTTGTAGAAAGCTGGCACAAGTGTAATCGTGCCTTTTATTTGCTATCCAGGTGCATCAGATCAAGTTACAGACCAGCCTCCCCATAAAGGCAGATTTTCCTCAACCTAGTAGAAACCGCAGAAAATACATGTTAAGGAGATAAAGTTTGCAACTGTTGTGCGTTGGAATGATTCAATACCCTATCTTCCTGCAGAGTAAAATTGAAAGAATTAAATGCTATTGAGCTGCCCGAAATCCACTGAAATTTGCTACTTGATTAAAACTGGCTTGCCAATTTAAAAGTAACTTGCTTGTGATATTCAAAGGGCATAAACAGAGCTATTTTGTAAGGGATCCGTGAAGAAGGATGTCGGCACTAGAGGCACAAAAAAGTTGCTTCTCATACTCTTACCAAAGACGCTCAAGCAGCCTGTGTGCATTAAGGGCCCGATACCGCCCTGTGGAGCTGGTGAAAACTGGATCCCTGATCGTCCAGGGACACAAGGGCAAGGTAATTAGGGTCAGGAACGCGTGGCTCTGAAAATTGGTACCTGCTTGTACTTGAGTTACTGTCTTTTTAACGCCACGCATCGGTATCAGTTTCTGTACTTCTTTTAATTATTTTATTCAAATTAAATACGTAGCAGTTCTGATTTTGAGCTAGTACTTGCTCTGCACGTAAAGACACTTTATGGTGTCCTAGCAAAGGATACAGAGATTGAGATGGTACCGAAGATCACTGTGTCACTCCCTCCCTGGGCTTGGGGACCAGCTTATCCTGGCACAGGTAACCAGTAGCTTCAGAACAGGCGTGTTTTAGTGCCGCGTTACTGGCTGTGCCATCCCCTTGCCTCTGTCTTCCTCCGAGTGGGAAGGCTGAGCAGGAGGAGGTAGGGAAACGTGGCTCAGCAGAGTCAAATTCCACCTTGTTGTTAAAAGTAGCTTTAATCTCTTTCTGCAGACCAGTGGGATAAACGGGATGAATGTAAGAATGAGCGGCTGCGCTGAGTCAGACCAAACACCGTCGTTCTGGGTTTGGACTCCAGTAATGGATGACAGGGGATACCTATGGGAAAGAATAGGAAAGGACAACCTGTAAATAGAGTGACAGGAGGGATGTGTCTTCTACATCAGAAAAAGGGGACATTACTGAAGAGCTGGCTACTTCAATTGTGCATAATTGCGTTTCATATTCTGTGCTTTGGGGGTATTTTTGTTTTTTAAATTGCCA